CTTTCTTTCCAGATTCATGCACATTCGAAATCGGTAAATCGTTGTTTTATCTTCTCAAATCAGATTTCGGTAAGTCAAATGATGTTTCGATTTCACGCATATTAACGGCATGCTTTTGATGAATATAATATGCACATTATCGGTATAATATCTCCTACAAAACAATCACAATTCTTTGCCAACCCAATAGAAAAACTTCTCAAACGAACAATAGAGTCTCTCTCTCTTACCAACTGATTGGCCACCTTCAACTTCAAACCAAGAATCCAATCCCTCGCCTCCTCGTTCACGCGATCCAATCCATAAACCACATGCTTCGGCAATAACCCACCATGCACAAACACTGAGTCCCCAACATTCTTCGACAAGAACCTTTTCGCAATCAATCCATTTGGTCGCAGTGCAGCCATTCGTGCTCTAACACCATTCAACAACTCCGGCTTAATTCCACGAAATTCCATAGGCATCCCATCAAATGGATCATCAATTACACCATTCCCATCCAAACCACCGCACATTTTCTTCATGCAATTCCCGACACGTAGCCACATAGCCCAATTTTCAAACTCCTTTAGTCCATCAGACGTCACCAATCGAAAATCCCCATCAATATTCATAATCGCATGATTCCCATTCATCGTAATGATCCTCCCACCAACTTTCGCAGCCTCCCTCTTCAATTTCTCAAAGAAGTACAACAACTTAATCTCATCCCCACCTCGGTCCAGAATATCCCCCACCTGTACAACAGTACTTGACCCGCCGGACCACCGACCATTCAGGTCAATCAGACCTGCAAGCCTTAACGCCTGTTTGCCCTTATAAAGGTCCCCATGGAGGTCCCCAATGGCAATAAGGCGAGACGGTTGTGCAAATACAGTCTGTAAAGGAGGCAAGCATGCTGGATCCTTCGAATTTTTTGCATTCTGGGATGTAATCAGATCCAAGTTTGGGTTTGGTTCGGGAAGTAAGAAAAGGCCGCCACTGACAGAGAAATCGACGAAAGTGTCGACGAAGGAGGAGACGAGTGAAGGAAGAATTTGACAATTAATTTGGGATTCCATTTTTTTTATTTTTTTTTCCAATTTTTTCGCTGTTTCTTCCCACTAAAAGCGATATATATATTAAATCGGAGACCTGATAGAAGGAATTCGTCGCTTTAAAGACCGTTAATCCATGTCAAGGGTTCACGATTGCTAAGTTCGATATGATGTTTAGATTCAATTGCGTGACGTAACTTTCATGACTACACGGGTATAAAATATTTTAACGACCTTTCGGGAAATTAATACGAATTTGGTGAGGTTTGAATAGTAAATGAGCCACCGACGAGGACTTGACTTTAGAACATTATGCATTATTTTCCTTGACAAAGGATCGTGTCGAGTCAGATCGCCTACTCGTTTTGACACTACAAATAGAAACACGGTTAATAATTATGCTATAAGTACAAAAAAAGTCGACATACAACACATGACTTGGAAACATAAAGATGGAAAAAAAAAAGCGAATCAAATTCCACTACATGAGCATCGGTATGAATTCGGTAAGAAATTCCCTGTGAGGCTTTTTCCTAATGTTACAATATATATATAGAAAGATGAGTGACGTTAATGTGATATTAAATGATAAATACAATTAATTTCACCTTTCACTTAGCCTATTACCTAACACCATATAGACCCGAGTTATAATCCCAAGCTAAATAGCATTATCCTAGAAAGATTCCAGTTTTGAAAAAGAAAACTACACACATTAATGCCATCAAATAGAAGTCTCATAAACATCACGTCTGCTATGCAGTACTCAATAGCACTGCACAGAATACCAAAAAGATTCAACATCTTTTCATTCCGCAATCTCGTCTAATGCTGTCCATTTCAGCATACCAACACATTTTTTTGTCACTCGAATCAAAGCGAGGATAAATAAGTTATTCGAAACCACCACACAACAACGATCACCAAAATTGCCTCGAGTTTTTGGAGTTCACAGTCAGCACAGAAAACATACCACAGACCATTCACTAAAATGTCGAAGCTACTGCTGCTGCCCCTATATATGAAGATCTAGTGCAATCAAACCAGAAACAACGGGTATCTACAGTACAAGTCCCTTGCCAGAGAGGAAAAACAAATTGCAAGGATACAGACTATGGCTCATAGTTGTTTACCTGTCCCTTCATGCACTCAGAGTTGTACCTCTCGATCATATATCCAGCTAAACGGAATTCTTGGTCCTTGCTTTGCCCGGCCTTGAGCTCTCTCCTCTAACCGCCTGATTCTCGGAGGCAAACCACAGACATAATCCTGAGCCTTTTGCCCTTCCGAAGATAGTCCGGTTAGTTTTGTCACGTTCCATCTGTCAACCAAATGTTCAAGAATGCCGGCATAGTCTCTAGCCGTGTAGACACCAAGCCGCTGGGCAACGGCTGAAAAGTGATCAAAAAGATTATCATCACGTCCATCATACATCAAGTGGGCTGGCATTGAGATTTTCTTCCTCATCATGTCAGCAAAAGCCAGCACTGTTCCATCAGGATCGATCTCAAAAAGCTTTTCAACTATTTTGGTGTATGCAGTTTCATGACGCTTCTCATCTGCAGCAATTATACCACAGATTTGAGCCAGCTTCACGTCCCCATGGTCCTTCGCATGTCTTGCTGTGTTACCATGAGAAATGAAAGTGGCCCTTTCTTGAAATGATGTATAGATAAATCCAAGGTAAGGACTGTTTTCTGTCCGCGGATCCTGAAAATATTGCAACAGATAGAATCTGAGTCTAAAATTTCAAATATTAATAATTATAAGAAACAAGCCATTCACATCATTTAAACACCCATATTTTGTAACTGCAAAGGTAATCCACGTATCCGCAACACGTACTGACGCACGTGTATGACAGAGACTACCATAGAGAGGTACGGAAAAGATCCAACTTTTCTTGTGAGCATATTCATTATATTTAGGAAGTCGAGAACCTCTATATATTTTCACTTAATAAGAAGAGCTGCAGCTGCTCGACATTCCAGGCATAGAACAACAGAGAATTAAGTTAACAGAAATAGTGATGGTGGCAACAGGAAAAATATTTTTGGTCATGTGTCAAGAATCTCACCATTCCAGAACCTATCAAGTACTGGATTGTCTTCTCAATTTGTCTCATGTCTACCCGTCCTGACAGATAAAGATATTTGTTTAGAAGGTCTCCATGCCTGTTCTCTTCAGCAGTCCAGGCTCTAGTCCAAACAGCCCAGGGAGTAAGACTTGCCCCCGTTTCATCTCGCACCCCATCCAAGGTATTAAGCATTGTCTGATACGTTGGAAGGGCTTCTTCTGTGATCATGTCACCAACTAGAACAACAAAATAATCGTCAGGTAGTTCCTTGGCTCTCTCCCGTAGTTCCTTGACATGATCATGAAATTCATCGGAAGCAGGATCTGGCAGGAAATCCTGCGGTTGCCAGCATTTTTCGACTGGCTTCAGGTGAATTAATATATTTTGTTCTGCCCAATCCTCCATTGCTTTGAAGATCTCAATCTTTTGAGGCGGCATAGAGTGTGTTACTTGAACGTGAACCTCACGTGGGGGACTAAAAGGCTTCTTGAGAGTCTCAACCTCCCTGAAACAGAATTCGACACACAAAACAACAGAAAAGAATTAGACTGCAGAACAATCATTTAAGCATAGCATGGAACTTCAAAGCAATTTATATCGTGTTCGAGCATTTATAGAGTAACCGTGTCCAGAAAATGCTAGTCTGTATTAATTATCCATATGGGCAGTTGACTCCTCAAAAGTAAACCAATCACCATATCTAATGTCCTAGCCGTATTTGCTTTACAATTTACAAGTTACACATAAAAAAATTTAGATAAGTAGAGAAAATAAAATGCAAAACAAACTCTTTCTTTGCCAATAAGTTATTAAATCATTAAAGCCCATCTTAGAGAGTTGAAATGCAAACGTATCTCAATTATAATATCAGGGCCTAAAAAAAGTTACAATAGGCAATCAAAGTCAAGCGAATTATCATTTCAACGGTCTCCACTGGAGCTGCTAATGGACTTTCTAAATCTATCAAAAGAGTGTGTGAGGATAACTGATTGTATAATAGATATATAGATGGATATGGAGAGTATTGACAAGTAATATATCTGAATTTCGAGCTCTCATTTCAAGAAATACTTGATTTTGCCACCCCACTTAAAGGAATATCCGAACAGACGGTAGAAACAAAAAGAATATAAAACCTAAGTGCCCACAAATTAGACCAAACTTTTTTCTTATAATGTTTTGATGACCATATTTTATCAGAATATTTTTATCACCATAGCTATTTTAATATCTTCTCTTCACATAACAGAAGGACAAATTTGATAATCGCAGAATGCACGACGGCACCAAACTAAGGAAACACAAAGTTACATGCCTAATCTCTGCATCAGCCAAACAATTGTATTAAATAGTTAAGATATTAACTATTAAATACTTCTCACAAGCATTGAGTACGAGTTGAAAACAAAGAAATCGCAAAGATTAGAGATAAAAACAAAAACCCAGATCAAGAAAAAGCAGAAAAATGATAATTTGCATTAAAGATCAAATCTTTATGAAAAAAAGACACAAAGAATGCCCATTGAAGGGTTTAATAGATTATCAAAGATGAAGTAAATACATAATTATATGCTTATTACTTGGAGCCAGAGCGAAGAGTAGAAGCCATGAAAAACTTGGGAGATCTGTGGCTGGCCACAGGAGGGAGAGAAAATGAAGGGCATTTATGGGATTGAAAGTTGATAGCATTCAATTCCAAAGCCATTGTTTCTTCTCGATTTCAATGAAAGCTTCTGTTTTCTACTTTATTTCTCAGGTTTTGTTTCCTCCACAGAAGGGATGGCTGCAAAACGTGTGAGAGAGAAAGAGAGAGATGAGAAATGGTGGGGGCAGGGAAGCCAGGTGGAGTGGTTTGTAGAAAGGGATATTGTTTTGGGGTGGCATAGGAGTCTCTCTCTCTCTCTCTATATATATATATATATGTATGTATGTTTTTTTTTTAAATCGACTCGAACATTAATGAATTGTGCTAGATGTAGATTACTGCGTACATCAAGGTCCCGTGTGGTATCTATTAAAATTTTCATTCTCATTCTTCTACTCATTTTCAACCACACATTTTTCATTAAAATAATATTTTCCATCACATCAATAACTTTTCCTTCTTTTTCAACCACACATTATCCATCAATCTACGAATCCAAAATACATTCTCTCATTCTTCTACTCAGTTTCAACCACACATTCTTCAATAAAATAATATTTTTCATCATATCAATAACTTTTCTTTCTTTTTCAACCACATTCTCCATCAATCTACTATTCCAAAATACATTCTTCCAAAATAATATACATCAAACACACCCCAAATCTTACACTCCTCCTATGTAGCATAATCTAGGCAGAAAAGATAGATTGTTTAGGATGTAACAGAATGTAAGAGAAGACGTACATAAAAGTATACATTTAGTATGATTGCTTGTATATATACCAATGTTGTTAGTACCAGTCTTATCAATGACTTCGATGAAAAGAATTAGAAACATGTCTTATTGTATCTTAACAACTACAAAACTAGTAATCGTTAAAAAAGAGAGTCAATAATCAATTAATTTAACTAAAATCGGTACTTTTCCATTCAATCCTAATTCGACACTTTACTCATGCTAATTACTGTTGGGTTTTACTACATGTACATGTACATAATACCCAAATAACATTTTATCATTGGTTGGTGAAAAAAACATGTAGAATAATTCAATTGATATACAAGTACATGCACACAATTATATGTCAATCAAATGTGGCTATCTCATTTGTTGTACCTAGGAAAATTAGTCCTGGATTTAGGAATTACATTATTTCACTTACTAAATTTATTCTTTTATGCATAAATCTCATACATTTATTTAAATTGATTAGTCAATTTTATTTTTATTTCAATTTGACTGTTTGATCGGTAGATTTTGTCAAATGAGTAATGTTATTCATTTAGATTAAAAACGATTATAGGTCAATGTGGTAGTGAAATCACTCTGCTGCATTGTTCTATGTATAAAAATGCATCCCAACTTCATTTGGACAATGTAATAGTGCCTTTATTACTATATAGATGGATGATCGTCTAGCCTGTTATAATAATAATAATAATAAATCGATATCATTATTTTATACTATAACAAATCCATATGATAATTGATTCCAACGTCGTCTAAACATGATTCCTAAAATTCAAAATGATCGTATAGATAGCATAAGTATTTTGCTGAAGTATATTCTTGGTATTATATTAGTAAAAATATATTGACAGAAAATGAGGTTTTAGAATAAAACAGGGGGCAACATTGTAAAGATAAACAAATGTTTTCACTTCACCAAAAAAAGATTGCAAGTACAAACAAAAGTTGAGTGAAGTTGCCAAAATGAAAGGATTTATTAGCCGAATAAATGCATTTGGCAATAAATATAGAGAATATACCACTTGGCACCCTTCATCCTTGCATGGCAACATTTGTAACATTCATTGTTCATGTCACCCCACCCAGAAGAAGAAAAATAAATGAAGTCTAACTTGAGAATATTTGAAATCGATGTTTGCAAAAGGTATTTAGCACACAATATTTCTATCTTTCATGCAAAATGTCCTTACCTTCAATTTTTTGATATTTTACACATTTAATTGTGTAAAACGTCATTTTCATCAACTTCCATCCAACCCTCTGTTAAGTGTCCCTCTGCAACCCCTCCTACCATGAGAGAGCCTCTTTTTGTAGATATTGTCTACAAAATTCAATAGGGTAGGCCCTCTAGACACTACTTAGACCTTGTTTGATCCTCTCTTTTTTTCAAAATACATTTTTCTCTCTTCTTTTCAACCGCACATTCTTTAATAAAATAACATTACCGCGACTCAAAAACTTTTCCTTCATTTTTAATTACACATTCTCAATTAATCCACTATTCTAAAATGCATTCTACACAAAAAAAAAAGGGGATTCAAACAAGCCCTTAGACCTTTGTTCGTCCCAAGCTGACATGACGTTCTCGTAGTCTAGACTCAGCATTATCTTCTCCTTCTTCCTCTTCTTAGAGGGCGTTCAGGTGCCATTTTTTGCTCATTATTAGAAGAAATATAATCATTGCAAAATGAAAGTTGTGAGATAAAAAGTCAAAAGAAGGGCTAAGTGGGGCCCATAAACGGTAACATTTCTTCTAAAAATGAGGTGGAAATGGCTAACAAACACGCTCTAATATCATCATCGACTCATTAAAATCTTCGAATTTTTTAATTATCGTATGATGTGTTTTAGTATCTTCCCCTTCACCTATAATTGGAGAATAATCATCATAATCAAAATTGAACTCTATTTCTCTTTCCGAATCAATTTCTGTGCCATTTTCATGTGCTTGAACCATGATATTTCTACAACTTCTTCATTTATTGACTCAAATCATCTGTGGCTATAAATCTGCCCCTCTCTAACAGTTGAGATCACAATTTGAAATTTGAACTGATATTTTATAATTTATAGTTCTATACGCTCTCTGTCGGGTTTTGAAAATTTGAAGCAGGGAGAAATGGCAGATGAAGGGTCAGCAACTTGCATCGACATTCTTCTGGTTATTCTCCTGCCTCCCATTGGTGTCTTCCTTAAGAACAATGCTGAATGTATACTCCAAGTTTGACATCCATTTTGACACTCCGTTGTTTTCAAAAACATTGTTGGCGGGGAAGTGTGTGATTTTTAAAACTGCCTGTTAATGTATATACATATATACATAATGCACACGTTAGTTAGTCCCACATTGATTAGAAAGTAAAACATTCCTATCAAGTTAAGCTATAAATAGGATGTCTCTCTTGTAAACAAATTACACTATTCAATACAATTTTATTCTCTTTGTATTGTCTTATTTTCTCTCTTAAATTCAACTTGGTATCAGAGCTACTATTCTTAGTGGTTTTCGATATATCAAGAGTTGAGTATGCTCTGTGATTGCCACTATTAGTGGATCCTTCACATCAGAAAAACTTCTTGTATATCCTTGTCATACTTGTTGGGTAGTCACTATAGTCGGAGTCTTATTCTCCATCGACGTCATCTCAGCCACCACTCCATCAGTTCAGTTCGGTTCCTGTTATTATTATTTTTCTTTGTCCTCCTCTAGTTTCGTTCACATTATGGAGCATCTTGAGGCTTCACAACCCATTGCCATTATCATGGAAGGACTCAACTACACCATATGGGCTCAAGCTATGTCAAGCTTTCTTAAGGGCAAAAAGCTATGGCGCTATGTCACTGGTGATATCTCTGAACCAGAGAAAGTCGTTGGAGAAGACAACACAAAATACATAGACCGTCTCGAAGAGTGGGATAGCAAGAACCACCAAATTATCACTTGGATTCGCAACACGTGTGTACGCTCCATCAGTCTCCAGTTTGGTAGATTCAAGACTGCCAAGTCATTATGGGATTTTCTACAGAAACGCTACACCACCGCAGATCTGTCTCATCAATACCAACTTCTGGGTACTCTACATCGTATGCAACAACAACCTGGGCAATCCATCAATAGTTTCTTATCTGAAATGCACTATGTTTGGGATCAACTTGCTTCCTCAGAACCAGAGTTTACAGATGCCAAAAATGCTGAGAAATTTTTCGACTATCGAGATCAGCAACACTTGGTTCTCTTTCTCATGGCCCTCACTAATGAGTTTGAGCATGTTCGTGCATCTCTCCTTCACCGCAATCCCTTACCTACTTTAGATCAAGCTGTTACTGAACTTCTTTCGGAGGAAACTCGTCTTGCCCCTCGCAAAACAACCTCTGTAGATGCTGTCTTCGCCACTCCCAGAGGACCTCAACCCAACAACAAAGGGCATTCATCTGGATCTTTTCAACACAAAGGGCATCCATCTGGATCTTCAAAATTCTGCAATTACTGCAAGAAACCAGGACACACTCTCTTGGAATGCCCGATTCGAATTTGCCAATTCTGTCAGAAGCAAGCCCCAGGTCATCTTTAGCGTGATTGTTTTCAAAACCCCAACAGATACTCCCAGCAATACATGTCTCGCAGTACTCCTTCTAGATCTGCCGCCACTACTGCTGAAGGTTCATCATTCACTACTTCCAGTGAGACGTTTTCTGCCTCTAACGTAGAAGAAATTGTCAAACAAGTCCTTTCTCATTCTGGTAATATACCCTCTACTGCTATGTCAGTCACCTCGGGTAATTCATCCTGATTTTTCGACTCTGCATGGTGTAATCACAGACACCTGATTCCACTATATTTGCCACCAAACATCTTGCTAATCATGCTCCGACTATTCAAACTACTGGTTCTTCTATGACTGTGAGTCATATCGGAAAAATATCGACATTAAACACTTCTCTTCCTGATACTTGCTGTATTCCCCAACTCACTCTCACTCTCAATCTTATATCTGTTGGTCAATTATGTGACTTCGGTCTAACGTCATCTTTTCTACTTCTGGTTGTTGTGTGCAGGATTCAAAGACGGGACAAACTCTTGGGATAGGCCGTAAGGTTGGACGACTCTTTGAGCTCATCAATCTTCACCTTCCATCCCATTTCTCCTCATCAGTTCAAATAGCAGCTTCAGTCTCATCTACCCATCCATCGGTCTCTGGCATTCTCGTCTGGGTCACGCTTCTGTTGGTCGTCTTCAATTTTTAGCATCTAATGGTCATTTAGGACTTGTTCCTAAAGAACAATTTGATTGTCTTCCTTGTCAACT